TTATGAAATGTCAGTAGAAAAATAATTTTATTTTGCGGTATGGAATCCCGTCCGAGATCGTTTCTGATCGTGGGTCGGAATTTATGAATGAAACTTTGGATAAAGCTTGCAAACTTTTAAAAATAAAGAAATTAAATTCCACAGCTTACAGGCATCAAACTTTGGGGTCCCTTGAAAATACGCACAAGTCTCTGAATGCATATTTACGCATTCAATGTCAAAATTTTAAAACTGATTGGTCTTCATGGTTACCATTTTGGTGTTTCTGTTTTAATAATACAGTGCATACGGAAACCAAATATACCCCCCATGAGTTAGTTTTCGGCAGATTGTGCAACATTCCGTCTAATATAACTCAAAAAGTAGACCCTGTTTATAACTTCGATAGTTACCCTATAGAGCTCAAATACCGTTTACAGGAAGCATGTAGGGACGCGAGGAATAACTTATTGACATCAAAAAGCAACCGTAAATTGAATTATGACAAAAATTGTAAAATTGTTAAATACAACATTGGGGATAAGATTTTACTTAAAAATGAAGCAGGAAACAAAAGTGAGCCCATTTATAAGGGTCCTTATATTGTTACGCAAATTAACTCTCCAAATATTGTAATTAGAATAGGTAAGAAATTTGTAGAGGTACATAAAAATAGAGTTAAGTTATACTATGAATAATCTTTTTAGGGTTAAGTTCTCCTATGAATAATATTTTTAAGAGTTAAGATATACTATGAACAATGTTTTTTTTTTTTGATATTTTTTTTTTAGTTCCATAGGAGGTGTAGTGTGTAACATCCTGTAGTTACAATAGGGTTTCACACCCTATATATTATGTAGCAATTGTATGTTTAACATTCAAATATAAATATGTATAATTAATAATAGGCAATATTGCTTATGATGAGTTTTAAAGATAACTAGGTTAATTAGAATAAACATGCCGTCAAAAGAGGGCATATAGTTTTTGACGATTGTATTAGTGTCTTCGAACTAATAAACATAAGTTGGGTTTTGTAAAAACCTTGTGTTTGATTTAAAAGTATCAAGATAACCCTGCAAGGTTATCACAATATTCTAAAACAACCCTTGTTTAGATCTCATTTGCATCTTCATCTTGTCTATTGACTATTATGTTAATCAAATTTAAATTATATTTTTCATCATACATGTATATTCTTAACTACGAACGCAAACCGCTAACGAGACCGTTGATGACGTCGACAACGGTTCAACAACATATGAACTTGATTGCAAAAATCAATGTTTAGGTTTAGGATTTCATCAAATAGCTCAAGCAGAAAATAAATGCAAAATAACCCATTCTAACCCAAACTATTCCGTCCTCGGAATGTGACCCAATCTGTTTTTAAATTGCATCAAATTGCTCAAACAGAAAATGAATACAAGCCAATCTAACCCAAACTGACCGGTTTGTGCCCTTTTTTACCTAATTCATCTTTTTGCAATTCAGACAGCGCTCTTTGGTTACAGTGCTGTTTTGTTACACCGCTCTTTTGTGCAGCGCTCTTTTGTTACAGCGCTTTTTTGTTACAGCGCTCTTTTGTGCAGCGTCCTTTCGTTCCAGAGCCGAACAGATGCGCCGGCTTTCGTGCATTAAATGGTTTGAGTTCGGACTTGAGCACTTGTGCAACAAATAAAGTCTGTTTTTTTTTTTAAAGATAATTCTCTAATGGCCGTTCGCACCAACCATTTTAAGGAAACCTTAACGATAAGTATTCCTTAAAGTGACATTTTTACATGTAAAACTATCATTTTATGGTAAACTTATCGTTAGGCCTCCCTTAAAACGATCGGTGCAAACGGCCATAAGTCATTTAGTAACTATGTGGGTAACTACGAGCCTTTTCTACATAAAAAATTTGAAAGCATTGACATTACATTGTATTGCCAACATATTGTCATTTTGACTTTTATCTTTAAAAAAAAAAGACTTTACTTTTTGAAAGGAATAATTATATCCTCGCACACCCTGTATGTTGTGATTGTGATCATAGCCAGGGACGCAAGTATGGGGGGGAATGGGCGCCTCCCCCCCAACCAGTTCAATCAGTTGGGATAGTTGGACACAACCCTGTTGGGATATCGGGAACAAGTTGGTTCGGTACACTTGAAAAAATTAAGATTCACGGGAAAAATAAAAAAATATTTCAAAAAAATGACAAAAAAATAAAAAACAACTTGGAAAAAACCCACGTTGCTGACGCGCTGGCAAATGCCCTTAGGCCGGTCATGCTTTAGATGCGTTTTCGTCCGAACTACATTCGTCGGAAATTTAACGAATAATTTCGTCAGATTTCGAATACCTACGTGATATATGTCCACTGAACAATTATCTGCATTGCGTTGCGAAGTCAGTCTTTTTTACGTAGAGTAAATTGAGGATTATCTTTTGGAAAATATAATTATCTTGTTAAACGGCGATTATTGTTGTTGAAAGAAAAAAGTGCTGGGCTTATATGATATTTTAACAAGAGACAAACATTCGCACTTTCTCGTCCGATTTCTGACGAATGCAATTCGGATGAAAACGCGTCCAATGATCCCAAGGACGACTGGCCTAAGGCCGGTCGTCCTTTAGATGCGTTTTCATCCGAATTGCAACCGTCAGAAATAGCACGAATAAGTTCGTCAGATTTCGCATACGTGATATCGTCCACTGAACAAGTTTTTGCAGACTTCGCACAGTCTTTACGTAGTGGAGTAATATGGAGGATTATCTTTTGGAAAATATAATTATCTTGTTAGACGGCGCTTGTTAAAAAGGAAAAAGTGCTGGGTTAGTGATATTTTAGCAAAACGAAAATAATTCGGAGAATTTCATCATTTATATGATGATTTGAAGAAAGATGAATTTTCTCTGCATGTCTCGCATGTGATATGATTTGACGGTCATATAGTCATATACCACAAGAGTTTTTTTTTCCATATCAAATTAATCAATCAATCGATATCCATATCCAACACACACAGAACTACTCAGAACTACTGCGAAAAATCCCATTTTTTTTATCAATCGCAATCTGATGTTTTCGTCCAAATTCGCACGAATAATTTCGGGTACAATGTACGACAGACATTGGGTTTCACTAAAATGGGATCATTCCATCATTCGCACTTTTTCGTCCGATTTCTGTCGAAAGCAAATAAAGCAATTCGGACGAAAAAGCATCCAAAATTTCAAAGGACGACCGGCCTAAGGAGTCTTGGGCATTACGAACTTCCAACAGTTCGAACTAGTCTCGCCAAAAACGGGTCTTCAAAGATTAGTAAGATGACTATGATTTTTTTAACGTAAATGTCCCAGCAATGTTTTTCTATAATTTTCTCGATTTTGGTGTAAGAATGTCATATTCTCGCACGCAAAATCGTTGAAGAATGAAGCACATTCTTCAACGACTTTTAGTGACATTCAATTTTAAAAGTACCATTGGTATACCTTTAAAATATTCAAACCGTCTAAAATAAAATCCTCTTGTCAGTTGGTTGGTAGCTAATTGTTACCAACGGAAATATTCTGCAATAAGACCGTTTAGCTAACTACTAAAAACACAAAATAAAATTTAAATAAAAATTAAGCTCACTTTTATTTGATTTCCTTTTTTGCATCATTATTGCGTACCTACAGTTACCTTGTTCCATATTCCAGAAAAATGTTTTATGTTTCTTTTGTAATTATCACATTTAGAGCCAGTTTATTCACCTTCTGATAAACTGTCAGGAATGCAATCTGACGGATAAAAACGCAATTTGTAATCCTATTGGTCGGCCAATTATCCGCTGATCAACAGAATTATAGAACGGTAAATTTATCTTGCAGATTGTTACCAGCAAGTTTATCTGAAGATAGATGAATATACCGGGCCTTAAAGCAAATAAAACAAATCATCTGTAACCAATTTTCATAGCCCAATAGTTGGGATTTTTAAATTTTTAAGAAGAACCAGTTGGGAGATTTTACCTACTCCAAAATCGAGAAAATAGTATAAAACTCACGTTGCACAACGCTATTCTCGCACTCATGAATCAGAGATGAGCCATCTCTGGTTGTTTAGGGATAAAACATCAAGTGTGATTATTGTGTAGTTATTATAATTATAATATGATTAATGAAAAAATAATCATAATAATGAGTTAATCTAAAAGAATATACCAAAAGATTAGAGAAAGAGAAGTCAGCTAAACTCCCAAAAAAAACTACTGAATCGTTTGATATAGCTCTGTTCCAACCAACATGAGAAGCGTTCCAGAACCAGTAATTTCCAGTGACCCGCCTATTTTTCAATGAGTTGAACGTTTTTCCTACTTGACAAATGAATTGATCTTGAGACTGGAAATTACTGTTCTAGAACGGTTCTCATGTCTTTTAGAACAGAGCTTAAAATCACTGGAATGCCTTATCCAAAATTGCAGTGTGAGCTCAAAGTTTCTTTCAAAAATAAACTTCATGAAGAACTCTTGCTAATTTTGAACACAGAGTAAATTCTAGAAAATAATTCAATTTTACATAATACCCAGGTTACAAAAAAACTTGTTTTTTTTTTCTCATTTTTGGCGATCTGTCTGTTACCATTTATAACTTCCAAACAATTTGAGAAATCTGTTCGGTTTTTTTTACAAAGATGCGAGAGCGGGAAGAATAATTTGGAGAAAACCTTGATGGAAATGTGTGGAGGTGCAACGTTGATTTTGAGCATAAAACCTTATTTAATAGGGGTGGAAAGGGTAGGGTAATATTGCTACAATATTTGTTTTTTCATATGTAAGGTAGGTATAGTCCGACGAGCGAGAGTTTACAGACGGCAAATATGCGAACTAATATTTCTATCACCCTCTTTATCATCGCAACTGTGTATTTTCATATCGTTTTTTCCTTCCCCTTCACCTCAGACCAAAACGATTTTCTCTCAGTAGCCAAACTATACCTATTGATCTTTTGGAAATAATTACAAAAACCTTGAAATTAAATTATTTTAAATCGTTTTTATTAAAAAACTTTTAAAGCTAAACTAAACAAAAAAAAGACAACCAAAACTGGATCATTACAAAAATAATATATTCTAGAAAAGAAATAAAGTTATTATAAATAAGATTAGAAGTATCTGAGATTCCCAGATCATTAATCGGAAAACTAAAAAAGTATTGCTCACAAAATGAAAACCTTATTGAAATACTAAATAAGAAAAGTATAAAAATCAGTCTATTGAACTATAATTTTAGGCTGTGATAAGTTATGTACTTAATTTAATGGAACAATGAAAAAAGACAAATTTTCTTAGAAAAAAAAAAACTTTTTATGTGATGCCATTTTTTTTTATAACATATAAAACTATAACAAACCAGATTTTACCTTAAAAATATTAATCATCAGTGAGTGTTTCCGGAATTGTATGGATGATGATCTTACGTTTTGCGTCGTACACATAATGATTATTTTCAAAGATTTTACTTTGATAGAAGGGCTTAAGGTCGTGTATATCAATTTGTTTAGCCTGAAAAACAAATTATTTAAAATACATTCAAAATCATAAGATAAAATAATACCCTATCAATAAGATCCTTTTCATCTATCTCTATAATGAGAGCCTCCATTTCATTAGTATGTTTTTGAAAGGTAAGTTGATCTTGAGAAAGCTGTCTCAAGATGTAATACAATAATTCACTGTGGTCTTTCTTGAATGAAAGATATTTTTGGAAGACCTTTCTCATAGACTTCATAACGCTATATTTCTGAGTCTCCACGAAACTTTCCAACATCATCCTAACAGCCATATTCACATCGTCTTCCTGTACATATTCTCTTAAATGCATCTTAGCGTTGGCTTCACTCATACGAATTATACTTTCAACATGACGAACTGTTATAGGAAGACTTCCTGTGGCCAAAGATTCCTGTCTCAGCTGACTGTAGATGTTTGCAACTTTATCTTGGTCAAGGTTTTGTAATTTCGGATGGATGTTTTCTCTGGCGTAGACAATGTATTTTTTCAACATTTCTTGTGGAATTTGTAGATCGTTTTCAATATCTTCCGCTTCTTCTACATCTTTTTTCGATGGATGGTGGCGTATATGAGAATTCACAACGAATCTATAACAAAATATTTTTTGTAAAACTTATGTTTAATTATTGAACATTGGGAATAGAAAAATGCCAAAATTCAATTTAAAATTAAGATATTGGCTCTCACTCAAGATGAAAAAATAAAACAAGGATGAGTATTGTATTGCAACATAGATTCTAGAGTAAACGCATTATCAGTCAAACATTAATTAGACATTACATTATTTAAAAAAAAAATATTTTGATTAATTTATCTTAATACATGAGAAAAATTTCAGATAAGATTTTATGATAATAATCTTCACCCAACTTTTTTTTCAAATTGGAATATTTACAGAGAAATATAAAATTAGGATTGCTGATGCATTTGTTTTATAGATCCATATTTGTTGCTAGTTAAACCATAGAGAACAAATCTCATATTTTTGATAAGCAGCCCAACATCAGGTGTCTGTTGTTTAATTGAAAAAGCTGTGTCTGAAAGCTCGATTAATAGGTGGCCTCTGATAGGTAAAATTTTAATATTTGGGATTAGTTCTATTTTGTAATTAATTTTTTTTCTTTGTGAAATTGAGTGAAGCCCGTTGATAAATAAATAAATAAATAAATAGATTCTAATAACTTATTACAGAAATTGCATTGGAGCTGCCTAAATGTTTTTCTTTAATACGGATAATAGTACTGGATACTGGGTGGGCTGGGAAGTGAAACAAATATCACCACTCTTGATGATAATCAAGAATTTTAGAACTATTCTGTATTATGTATAGTTCTCACCTGGCTAAATGTTGGTCTTGAATAGGATCAACCTCATCCCTAACGACGCAAAGTATATCGAATCTGGACAAAATAGGATCGGACAAATTAACATTTTCTGTGAACGTCATACTGGCATCGTAGCGCCCGCCTATAGGATTAGAAGCAGCGATAACGGAACATCTGGCCTGCAGACTGGTTACTATACCAGCCTTGGAAATCGAGATAGATTGTTGTTCCATGGCTTCATGGATTGAGGTTCTGTCCTGATCATTCATCTAGGAGAAAAGCGATTTAAAAATATATCTAATGAACATCAATCATTTTACTTTGTCGAATTCATCAATAAGGCACACTCCTTGATCTGCTAAAACTAAGGCTCCAGCTTCTAAAGTCCATTCTCTTGTAGCAGGGTTTCTTCTGACGTAAGCAGTTAAACCAACGGCACTGGCACCTTGGCCAGTAGTGAATACAGCCCTTGGAGCAATTTTTTCAACGAATTTCAAAAATTGAGATTTTGCAGTACCAGGATCACCACAAATAAGTACATTGATGTCGCCTCTAATTTTATGTTTTTGACCTGGATTCTTGGATTCTCCACCAAACAAACTCAAAGCCAAGGCTCTTTTAATATAGTCATGCCCAAAAATAGATGGGGCAATTGAAGCGATAATTCTTTCAGATATCCTGTGGTCTTTGCTCATTTTTATTATGGCGCTGATGTCGTCGTCTGTCAAACTTTGTACTATTTGCTTGCAATCTTTGACAACCAAATGGTTGGCGAAAATTACTGTAGCAAACACTGGAAATCCGTTATCTACATTTAGAGAACCGTCATAACTGTTAGTGTAGATGCCGGTAATATCCACTTCATCTCCTGGTTTGCATCTGTCACATAAATCAGCCAAAAGAATGCAATCTTTTGAACGAGGAACTCTGCCAGCTGGAATTCTACCAGGAGATTCTTGTAGCGTGATCTTCTGGTAGTTTCTGTAGACTGTTTGTTCCATGTTAATCTAGAAAAAAAAACATCTATTTTTATTATTCCAAGCATATTTTTTTTTTTTTTAGGATATATCATTTTCCTATCTTTAACAGTTTTTGAGTAAATCGCGATTAAAAATGTCAAAAACTAATTTTTCCTTAAGTTTTAACAGAAAACAATTGAAGGTAGGCGCAAACTGAAACGATATTTTCAGTGAAATTATAATTGATAACGAAATTGTTTTGTTTACTATTTCTTAGGCATCTCCATTGATAACATTGAGCTATTCCTTACCCAAGCGATTTTGTATGTGTTCATTTCTTAACAATGAATTTTTTCTCATATATCACTACTACCTATATCCAGAGATTTTATAAGTAGCTGTTATGCAAAAAAAATCTATGAAAGAAGTTTGCTCCAGTAAAAAGAATAATTTAAAATGGCTAATCGAAACATTTAGTTTTCTTACCGTAAATGGTCCACTACTCTGACATTCTGGACAGGAATTGGGCTGCACTTCCATGTCTTGAGTTTGTTGAAAAGGCCCCAAAATAAAACCACATCTGCCACAGTCAAACTTGATTATGGACAACTGAGGCAACACTCCTGTTGTGGCAGTAACTACGCCCAAAGTTCTCACCAATTGATTAACATGGAGTTTTCTAAAAAAATAGTCTACTTATATCTACATAGATACTATAACATAACTTAATTTATTTAGGCAAAACCATTGACCAATAAATACCACCATCACATTAATAGACCAATACCCACAGATAACAGATTCATGTTTATAAATAAATAAGTCGGGCACCAAATACGGTTTTACGCGGATTGATCTTCAGAAAGAAGCCTGAAAAAAAAATCCTGGATGTTAATTAATCATGTACGCCTAAAATACCTAGAAGCGCCTCAAAAATACCCTGAGCTTTCTTGAAATGCCCAATTATACTGTAAAAATACCCAGTTAGTGATATGTTCACTTTCATTTGGCATCCTGTCTTTCCTGGAAATTAAATAAATGTATATGGACGACTAATAATGATGAGATGAGCCAAACTGACATCAGAGAGACTTCTCAGATATGTAGTTCCCAAAATATTTAACTTTGATGGTGAACATACAGGCCAATCAAGGTACAATCCAATTGTGAAACAGAACCAATTTTTATTTAACAAACATGAGATATGTCTTGTTTTTTTAAATCGTCGAAACCACTGAAGCTGCATTGAAACTGTTAACGAGAGATTTGTGAACAATTTAATTCGCCTAAGTTTGAGCCAAATCACATTCAAGATCGGATTGAAGTTAACAAAGTTATGAGTCCATGTCGTTTAAGAAAGAAACAAAGTTCCAAAAAATGTAATTGAGGGAATTTTTGAGGAAAATGATTGAGGAATTGGATGGTAATTTTGCAAATGGATAGAGAAAGATTGATATTTAGGAAAATAACTGAAAATTTCTATCTGTAGAAAAGATTGAAATTTTTGAACATATATAAAAAAAAATCCTTCTGGTCTTGATAAACATCAAAGTTGAAAAACTTTGAAGTTGCCTAGCTTTGAAACTAGAGATTTAAAGAAAAATGTATTGGCCCTAATTAAAGCCAAATTACATTAAGATCGGAATTAAATTATGCGTTTATGTATTTTTAGAACAAATCAAAGCTAAAAAAAATGTAGGCAAGTAATTTAGGGATGTTTTATTTTTGAGAAAAGTTTTGAGGGATTTTATTGGAATTTAGCAAATGGATAGAGCGAAGATTCATATTTGAGGAAAAAATTAAAACTTCCCTCTACTTAGATTGATAAAAATCAATCAGTAGTTGAACTATTGAAACTGCTGGGAAAGTACTAACTTGAAATTTGATTGACCTTATTAATTTAAGCCAAATTACGTTAAGATTTAAAAAATTATGTTGAGTTGATGAAAGTTTTTTTTGAGGGATTGGATTGATATTTTTCAAGTGGATAGAAAAAGTTGGAAATTTGAGAGAGAAACATCTTTCTAATTGCTATTTTTGACTTTGAAGAGTGGCCGCTGCAAAACTAATGAAACTGCATTATTGAAACCATTATGAATGGAGTATCTCAGATTTTACTGTAATAATAAAAAGTGCCTATCCATGATATTCACTTACCTAAATGTTCTTAACTCTTCAATAAGCGGTAAATCAGATATTCTAACGTGGATTTCATTGGAAACTCTGTCATAACTAGGAAACATGGACAAAACAATTTCTTTTGCGACTTCGTCGAATATTTCCAACATTTGGAATGGAGCTTCTGGTAGAAAATAGGCCAGCACATGTTCTTTGTTGCCCAGAGTTGGAAACTCAACCGTAAAACTTGACTAAAACGAATATATTTATTAATAAGTAACATAAAAAAAAATATAAAGTGGTCCATACCTGATTATTTTCACACATCCTCTTTATTTTTTCCTTATAAACATTTTGTCCCCTGGCATTAACATAGGTCCTCAAGAAATTTTTGAATCTGTTCACAATTTCAGTTCTGGGACCCATCATAACAACCCAATCTTTGATTGAATAACCTTTAGTGTCTTCAAGGTTTTCAATCGATTCAATCATTTCTTGGTCTTCTGTTTCACCTGCAGCAGCCTTTTCAGCCCTACGTCTCTTATTTCTAGGATCTTCATCATCTTCTCTGTCGTAAAACAGCTCACGATCATCTCTTCTCAAAATTCCCAACTCTCTATCCCTTTGTCTTAGTTCTGCTTCTGCTGCAAGACGATCTTGAACTGACATGGGATCAAAGTCATCTTCATTATCTAATAGATTTTCGTCATATCTGTCTAAGTGGGGCATTGGGCGATAGTCACTAAAGAAAAGTTATTTATTAAGTACTGATAAACTAAGGAATGAAAAATTTCAATTTACTTTTCCATGTTATCTCCAAATAGTTCTTCTCCATCTTCCTCCTCGATTTCTTGTTCCATATCGCCCAATAAACCTTCATCTTGAAAAGGTTCCATGTCAAGGTCGTCTTGGGGCGGTGCTGGTGAAGACATATTCGACTGTGGTGTAGGCGCAGGTGATTCTGGGGGTGGTGTCTGTTGAAAAAAAAATCCACATATAGCAACTATGTATTATTCTAGGCAATCCCAGTTCCAGATTGGTCTGGGAAGCAATGGAAGCACCACATGCCTTTGGGAGAGCAAACATGGTCACTTTCACTTTAAAAAATAAACACTCCAATTTATAAATCAGACCCAAAAAATCGAATATTAAGCTATACACAAATAAGTGTATAATAATTCGTCCCTATCAAGTCGAATGGGCGTATCTCAAAATAATAAATCTTGAGAAAATTGATTTAAAAATAAATTTCTTGTTTTGAAACTATGGGAAAAATGCAAGAATCTTAATAATATCTTACACACCCTAAATATAGTGAAATATGTATTTATAGTATTTAAATTATAAGTCTCGCACATTTAAACCCTTTATAATGGGGTGAAATCATCCCTTAGAAGAGATACGCCCATTCGTCATATACTAGAATCCTGTATGTTAACAAAAAGGTGTATTTACGCCCTAAGAAAAACACAAGTAAACCACTTTAAACAGCTTGAGCTTCATTCTTTACAAGTAAATTAATTCATACATACGTAAATACCTATAAGCAATACCCCCTAAAACTAAAAGAGCCAAAAAATCAAAGCTTTACATTAAGCTGTAAATGTGGCAAATTTTTAAAAAAAACCACATGTTCATTGAGTTTTATTATTGGCGTGGGCCCACTAAGTCCATCAAATCTTTATATTTGTCAGAAGATATTTTTGGACCATGGAGATGCTTCTAGCGAGGTGTTGGAGAAGAAGGATTAGGAGCTGTTTGTTTTAAGCTAATATACCTATAATCTTCCTGCAGGTGGCTATTTTTGAAATAAATATCTGCGTCGATAAAACAATTTACTCTCGATGGTGATTGGCAAAAAAATTACTTGCTGCAAATCGAAATACAGTGCAAATTTCTAAAGGATTAGGATCGCTTTTCTTTTGTTGTTTCTTAGAACGAACTTTTTCTTTCTCGAGTATATGCTGCTGGTAGGTTTCCTCGAGTTCCAGTTTTTTGTCAAGATCACCTTGTCTATACCTACTTGAAACATAATCCGCACTGATCCTTCTTAGGGTTATGGACAGATAAACGAAGTCCTTTAAAAACATCAAGATACAGTGCATAGCTAACTTGTCCGATTTTTTCAGCAATAAACATGCTATACATTTTTTTTACTGTCAAATCCGAGTTTAAATACTCACGAGTCGTTTTTTTTTTCTGCAATAATAGGACTCCATTTGTGGAAATCTTTTGATATGATCTACTATAAGTTCTCTCATATGTTGATCATTTTGTTTTAGTTGAGTAGGTACTACGTCCTCAATGAACGTCCGTCCCCTGCGTTTTTCGGGTTCAACAATTCCAGTATTTTTTAACTTGCCTAAGGAAGTGCGTAGAAATTTCTCACTAATGCTCAAGTGTTCAAGAACATTGTTTTGCACACAGGAACTCGTGTATCACCTTTTGGTAAAAAGTAATAATTACTCTTTGCACGTCGAGAATCATGGTCACTACTTGTTGTTTTTTTGTTCCGTCTGTTCTCTCTTTACATAACGCGGAAAAAATTCCCTCTGAAGCTGTAAATCCACTGTACTGTAGAAATCGTTGAGAATTTTTGTTGTCTTTTTTCGTCTGTTATTTGGTCATATTTTTTTCCAATTTTTTTGCACATGCTACTATTACATCCGGATCTATCAACTCTTCTAGCAGGTAAACCGTGTAACGGTTTAACCTATGAAAATTGAGTAGAAGAGTAAAAAAATATCCTAGCAGGGATTGAAACTTACCACAACAATCGATGAGCTTTATTAGGTTATACAACTCACTGTACATTATTCCCATATGACACGAGAGGCTTAAAAAGTGATAAGCCTTTTGGGATTATCGCTCTTGGTGGCATTTATGGCAAATTCTATTATAGATTTTTTTTTAATTTTAAAGTATTAAAGTTTAGTTCGTTGTATAACCTTTTGAATACCACTCGATGTTTCAGGATTACCTAATACTTTTACCTGACACTCAACGCGTTACCAGCAACACCTCTCCTCCTTCGGAGTTGTGGTGTTGCTGCGTAACGCGTTTCGTGACAGGTAAAAGTATTATCCGGTAATCCTGAAACCTCTTGTGGTATTACATTCGACAATTCAATCCATCTGTCAAAATGGAAAATTCAATATCGCGTGGCAGCCAAGCAAGTTTGTTTTGATTATGTTTTTATGCTTATTTTAAATTATTTTGCTTAGAGTTTGGTTTGCAACTTTGATTTTGATTATTTAATAAAATATTTGCTGACTAGGAACCTGAACTATTAAATCGGGTAAAAACTAGATATTTTTTTTGTGTTTTTTGGCTCATGTGTGGCCGCCACGCCATCTTGATTGGTTCAGATACTTACTTTTTGAGGTTATGTTTCGAGAAAGTACTGCGCGTTTTCGGAAACGCTGATCCGATTAATCGGATCACCAGCTGTCTCTTTTTAATCGTGTTCATTAAAGAAAGATAAAAAACAAACAGCTGGTGATCGGGTTAATCGGATCAGAGTTTCCGAAAAGGCCTGATTATACTCCAATATACAATGATGGCCCCAAATATCCCCTGGGCATATCTCAACTGTTTCCAATGGAGTATATGACTAACAGGCGTAAGTCGAAATCCGCCTGTTCGTCATATTTTAAAATTCAATATTATGCGTTACGCCAAAACCTATTTCGTTTATCTGCAGACTGAGAGATACACCCGTATGTCATTGAATAATAGACCCAAAATTGGTATGTTTAGCAGGCTTATCTCAAAAACCTTATTTTTTGAGATACGCCCCTTTGACTTGATAGGGACGAATTTTTCTAAACTTTTGAAAAAGTGTCTAAAAAATCGCCCCATGAATTAAAAAAAAAAATAATAATAAAGATGTTCTTAGTGAACCACGAAAGATTAGTGTAGGCGTCCCTCAGGGCACTGTCCTGGAACCAATATTTTTCAATATTTACATTAAAGCTCTTCACTGTTATTATCTTCTGTGGTAGCACTTGGGAAGAGACTAGATCTAGAGTTGTAGTTGGATCGAAGAGGTTCAAGACATCTTTGAATATGCAAAACTGTCATCAACTTTACAAAAAACCAATAATGTGGCCTTTAAAAAATTGACAGAAATTGTCCAGATTTTATCTAGGAACCATTATAGATTTATATGTTTAAGAAAAAAAAATAATGAAGTACCTTTACATTTGCAAAATATTACAAATAATTCAAAATGAAATTCTAAAAATCCTATATAAAAAAGACTACCTTTATCCAACTCATCTAGGTACTTTATATTAGTAAAATTAATAAGATTGAGAATTGAGAATATTATATTATATTTTAATTCAATTTTCAAAATTCAAAATTATGTTTTATACATATTAAAAACCCAAATGTAAACCAAGATAAAGATCTAGTTGAGTTTTACATATTGTATGTTCTTATTTTGCTAAAAATAATAAGCTAAATATACCAAATTGTGGTGAAGAATTTTACAAAAGATTGGTAAACTATCTGGGACCAAAAGCCTATAATTTGGTAGGTACCTGTTGTAATAAAGACTACCATAAGATTTAAACAGTGTTCAAAACAAGCAAAAATATATCTTTGGAAGAATAGAATAGTATGTTTTGAACTGTTTTTTTTTTGCTTGTCGTTTTTTGAATTTGAATTTCAAGCAAGGGCAAACATGCCCCAGCTTTCTGAGAAAAGGGCAAAAAAAAAACTGTCCAGCGTCCAGCTTTAAGATCAAAACGACTTCAACTTCAATGCTTGAGGGTGGCATACATTTCTTTGTTTGATTCACTTAACAAACACCTGAGGTAGATAATTATATGTAAAGGTTCGCATATATTATAGCCAAAGGCTCAATAACAAAAATAGGTCTTAAAATAAAAATAACTTTAAAAATACAAAACAAAATATAAAATAAAACAAAATAAAATAAGATAAAATCAGACAGACAACATAGAAAAATAAAACAGTTAACATACACAATAAACAGATATGATGGTTTGGCTAGGGCATAAAACTACAACTTAAAAGTAGGTACTTAATAATAATAAAAGCAAAAGCAATGACAATAAGAAGATGAACACAATTTCTACACTCTTGATGCAGCACAAAAGTTTTCTTAGCGGATTGATGCTAAGATTGAAAATATGTTAGACACTGAAAGAAAGCATATGGTTTATTGGTGAATGACTAGATTTATCAACATAAAAAGGTTCCCTATTTGATATTCTTAAATGAATTTTTGGCACACATCGAATAAGGTTAGTAAGATTGTAGCTCTTGTATTTCAAATTGTTTGAAATATAGTAAATGAACATGACAGCCTGTGTTTTCCTTTGAGTAGATAGGCTAACCATATTGGAATCATCAAGCATGGATCTGTATGAGACGTAGGTATGGATAAACCGAGGGATAAACATTATTTTTCTTAACATAATGATTGTAACTCGGATTGTAAGAAATGTTTTTGAACTTTTCCTATTTCATTGGTGTTTACTGACTGCAGCTGTTGGATTCCAAATATTACTAGCTAGCATATTCCAAAGCACTTTTCCCTATTCACTGGTATTCTGTTATCTTTGAACCATTTCAATGCCTCATCAATCAAACTGCAAATCTGCACTTTACTATCCTTTGCACAAGGGCTGTACATCCGAAAAATCATCTATCCATATATGTATGAATTTTGTTATATTGCTAATTCAAAATCTTCTCGTGAAAGTTAAACTAATTGGCTAGGAATAAAGCTGGATTTATAGTGTCAGTATCAGTAACAGTAGCAGTAACAGTAAAATATTAAAACACGGCCTACTGTAAAGCCATTTATAATTCACTTAACAAACTTAACAGTAAAACTTAAGAAATGGTTATTTTCATATCTGTTCTTAAGTTTTAAGTTTTACTGTTACTGTTACTGATACTGACACTATAAATCCAGCTTAAGGCTTCCTCAAAAGATTTTATTGGTAAATTAAACTTACCCGTCTAGGCATGGTGATGCTATTTTACTCCAATAATTCAATGGAAATCTCGAGTGTTTTGAAACACGAACACTTCTAGATGCACAAAATAATTCAAATGGAATTAGAATCAAATCAAATAAAACCAAGCGGCAAGGCAAGCATACATCCACTATGCGATTGGCGCCAAAATTTGACGGATATGACATTTCATAAGGAGTTGGAGGTTATGTTCACTACGATTACGCTCATCTGTGCTCATGATAATTTTCACAAGGATAATACACACTACTACACATGGGATTGTTTATCGGCCTCGTTTTTGGGAATCGCGGCCTGGTGTAGCACCATTGATGACGTCAGGACTACGACGTCAGCTGTATGCGCCAGCGGTCGTGGTTTCGAATATATATTTATGATGAAAAATCCTATTTAATTTTGATTAACTTGATAGGTAAAAAGGAAAATGCAAACGGGATCTAGGAAAGCGTCGTTCTAGATTGAATGTTAATTTATGCCTGTAGGTATGCACCATTTTCAGGTATTTTCGTAATTAGCTAATCAGGGCTAATTATTTAATCACGGTTAAAAAGTCGATTCGATGTACTAAAGGATTTTGCATTTGCCTGGTATGCACCATTACACAAATTCTCTGATTAAGCTTTAGCCGTGATCACATAATATTTTTCTTATGCACCAAGCGTTTTTTTCGCCTAATCGGCAATAACTTAAATCGCTCGATGGCCTGGAATTAGGCATTCCAGGTTGACGTCATAACCGATCCGCCATTTTAGCTGAGAGGCAAACAAAAACCAAACATAACCCGATTTAATGTTATTTTCAAGCAAGGAGAATAAACTTACTAAGGAGTGCTTATCGGCCCCTTTTTGGGCAATTGCCGCCATATTGGTTTTCAACTGTTTCCAACCACTGCTGACGTCATAACAAAGTCGCCAGCTGTTTGCGCCAGCGGTTTTATAAATTTATAATTTGTCATGAAAAATATTTTATTTTGATTTTGATTAACCATTATAGCGGGTAACGGTAAAGGTACCCTATGCTATGATGGAACCAGTAGCGCGATATCTGGCTAGCTTTCGTCATTCCGCCTATTTACACGTTTTCAGCATGTATGATTTAATGGAGCGCTAGGAGAATTACGCGGCGTTTTGTTTACATTTCTTTATGTAAGTATAATAACTATAAGATAATTTATTCTATACTATTTAATTGTTTTTAGGGTTTTCTCATATTATTATAACATATTCCTATTCGAGCATAAATTGTTTGTTTATGTATTATATTCTTGTATATTACTGTCCCATATATGGCATATGGGCCTGGGCAGAAGCTAACATTTTTAGCTGTACTTACATTTTGTTTGTGGAATTAGCCATCAGGAAGCTTTGAATACTGCATACTGCTTATGATAATGAAAATGTTGATGGCATAATATATCGAGCCCACACAGAAAGCAAAGAGCTCACTGACTAAGATTCAGCAGATGAGGAACGTGGTTTTGACTTATCTACTAGGCAACTTTTGTGCTAGTGCAGAAATTGTTTATTCGAATGGGAAATATATCACAGGTAGAGTAGAATTAACAATTTTTTGGGAAATCATACAATTTTAACTTTATTTTTATTTTCAGACATACCCGAGGAAATATAAAGTACCGCCTTGCGCTACAGGAGAATATGCTTCGGGCTGCAGCAAGTGATTTTTGAGTCAATAATGATATAAGGTATTATGGACTGCATCATTATTGAAACACTTTTCCTGAACGTAAAAAAAAACGATGTGGTGGTCAAAACTGTAGCAGCCGAGGAAGAACAATGTGCTGCAAATGCAATATCGACTTATTTATTCACTGTTCTGGAAAGTTTCACACTGGGTAATAATTTTCACCCATAATGCTGCTCGTGATGATGCAGGCCAAAATTCATTATAATCTATTTCGTTTATCTGACCCGAAATCATTATATCTGTACAGTATACAACAGCCTAACCGGATCTCTTTCTTATATTTTTGTAAACTTTCTACAATAGGACATTGCCAAAAGGGTCTCAAGGCTGGTATGGATCTCCCTTATAATGTCTGTATTTGAATAACTTGTATGTGTAATAAATAAATAAACATTTTATAAATAACTCTTTATTTTTATTTATAAATAGGTGAAAATTAAATTAACAAAGTCAAATAACTTGACCACAAATCTGATTTTTACTCAAACTACCTATAATATAATACTGGTAATTAGGATTTAATAAACACTTTACACGTTCTGCTGTTTGCTCGGCCATTTGTATGCCTATCTGAGAAGAGTTTAATAATTGATTAAAAGTATAACTACATTCATTACTTGTATCAGTCTCACTAGAATCTTGATTTCTTTTTCTTTCGGCAAGTTTTTCAGCACCCATGGAATCTATTTTTTGGCTCGGTTTATGGATCACTATAGAAGAGGGCAAATTCTGGGATGGTACAACTTCAATATCCGACCTCTACCTGTACCTCTAAGGGTGGGTATTATAAAACTACTTTGAGAGTTAACTTGAAGTTAACTTCTGGAATTACATGTAATTCAAAAAGTTAACTTTAAGTTAACTGTCAAAGCAGTTTTATAATACCCGCCCTAAGACCTGTACTCTCACCTGTAAATAATAAAAACAGTCAATATTTTCAAACAAAACATTTTAAAAATAGATAGTACTTGATAAATGCCTAGAAGCAGGCCTAAAATAAAGCTAGGGCACAAAACTATCCATTATGCTTGTTTACCTTAACACAAAATTCTTGCTTAATTGAGATGCAGAGAATACACTTTCATGAATTTGGTGACTGGTTTGCCAATACGAAGTTTTAAAATCCAGAAGGCTTTTCTTCTCGACACTTCTTTTTCCATTTTCGTTTCCAAATAAACCCATGGGCCTGTTTCAAGGGGAAATATGTAGAAACTCAATCCTTTGTCAGCTTTTTTTTTAGCCCAAGACTTGCATTGAGGAACACAACAGTAATGATTAAAAGTCATGATTATATGTATCTGATATAATTTTATAATTTTAGACTTTAATTATACTAGAAACTAGTTCCATAATTTCCAGCCAGCAGCCAGATCATAACATAACCTGTGGTGCAAACAGCCTACGTCAAGACGAAAAACGCCATGATGTTTACGTCACAACTGATTTTTTGACTAGGCGGGGTAGGGGGGGATTTGTTACACACAGGCCTTATGAGGATAAGCCATCCTTAGTAGTGTGTATCATCCTTGATTTTCAAGGCCGTGGCTGAAGTAACAGAGGTGTTACTATAATTATTTTTTTAAAGTAACATCAGTTCAATGTTGTCACTGATGAAAACGTTACTTTTAATAGGGGTTATAGTAAGGGAGGTGTTACTCTAATTATTTTCTTGAAGTAACGTCAATATAGCAATATGTAGATAGGTAATTACTTTCTTTAGCAATTTAAAGTAAAGGTGATATTCTTGGTTCTTGGCATTTGTTTTAGAGTAAAAATTGAAATAAATAAAAAATAACCTGACTTGACTTTGAAGAATAGAATAGAAATACTTATAAAACGGGCACAATTATAGGCAAGGCATCAGGAAAGACACATTTTCTTATGACTGTCAGAAAGTGACAATTTGTTACCTTGTTTTCAGATAGGAAAATAGTAATTTCGCCTCCCTATGGAGGAAAGTAAATTATTTTCCTTCCTAGGCAGAAGTTTTTTCGCTGTAGATTATCATAGTTTTAGCTCCAAATTAACCCTTTAACGGGCAAAATTTTCCTAAGACTATTTTATACAGAAAATGCTAGTTATGCAGTCTTTTAGAAACAAGAAAAGATAATTTGTCACTAGAAATCGAGTTTTCTATTTTTTTCGCTTCTATATTAGGCGGTAAACCATTTTACCAGAGACCATTTAGGACTAAATATGTAGGTAGTGTTCTCTGGTACAAACCCTATACCACGCCTTCATAAATAAATAATAAATAAAAAAAGTGCAATAATAAAATGAATTTCTGCGGGATCAGAATAAAAAACACAATAGCTTTCAAACAGAGTTATAACAAAAACGAAATATACAATAACTTAAGAAAAATCACATCAAACTCTATAACAAATGAACATTACCTATCTCACTTCCATATGATCATAAATACGGTGCTAAAATTTTCCTAATCATCAGATATTGTGAAAACCGGATTGACAAAATCAAAAACAAATCAGAAAAATATTATACCTAATAATAATTAGTGCGATTTAAAATTGTTCATTATCGTTATCATACCACAAAACATGAAAATAATGGTGAAATTGTATACATTCGAAAGAAAATTTGGAAAAATTTTCCTAGCGCAATAAGAACAGGATGAAAAGTTGATTGATATTTTATGGAGACATGTATATGAAGCATGTATCAAAATATGAATCTTGAACTAGGAGTAGAACTTATAGAAAAAATAATTCAAAATGTACACAAAATTCACAAAATAAGTTCCAGGTTGAGAATATGTATAGTTTTTTACTAAATAACTGAGTACAGCATTAGAATTTTGAATTTATATCTATTCACCGTGCGTTCGTTATTTTGGTCCGAGTTCTCCGAGCTTGACTTTACCATTCGTTTATTTGAAAAGTGTACTTGGTGCAGCCTCATTCGCGTTCGGTTATTAAAATTTCTGGCACTTTTATACAGCGTTCAACTGCTCTGTTCGCTCACTGGTCACGTGATTACGGCTCCGCTCAGCACGCTCTGCTCTTTGAGCAAAATACCGAACGCAAGGTCAGTATACATATATAGATGATAATTACCTATTTGATTCGTCAAAATCCCTTCCGGATTATAAATATTAATAAAAATATGCATTAACGTATATTGAATGACGATGTTTTTAGGATGCATTAAAACCAGATTTTGAGGTTATAATAAGGAATAAACAAGGTGGTACTAGGTTTACACCAGAGAACGTTAAAGGGTTAAGAAATTACCTATCTTCATTTGCTGAAAAAAAATGCTTGAAGTTGATGACCATTATTTTATACCACTAATGATTAAAAATGGAAAACTGAATTTTCACTTTGCACACTCATAAAAAGGTAATCAATCGAATTTCACCTGCAGGAGAGAACTATACCTACACTCCCGTTCCTTTGTAAGGGCATGTGAGGAATAAGAATATGGAGACGCCGTTTTTCTCACAAAAGATTTGTATTATCAATACGTTGATTCAAATTTTTGCATTATAAAAAATAAAATATTATTGTTATGTTGTTGAATATCACCTTTACTTAGTTTAAATCGCTAAAGAAAGTACCTACCTCTCTTTTCTATATATTGCTACTATATTGACGTTACTTCAAGAAAATAA